TTGCTCAGCTTTATAGACATTCTGAGCACCAGCTCTGGCCTCTTCGCTTCCACCTGGTCTACCTAATTAATTAAGCAAGGAAGTTACCTCAAATTTTTGTACTATTTGTTTTTATTATCATGCACTTCTTTTGATGTTCCAGGAGTTAACCTCTTAATCCACAGACTCTGTGTGTTGTGTTCTGAACATTCTGAGATGTCTGGATAATTTGGATAATTGGTCAGGATGTTGCTGTCGCTCATGTTAAACTTTATGCCATGACTTCAAGTTCAAAGATCAGTATTAAGGTAAAATACTTCATAAAGCCTTTTTAAAACTCTACACTCGTGATTACGCAATACCTAGTTATTCCAGTTTCTCACGGCGGTAAATTGCACTATTTGTATTTTCTTACAAGGAAATTACTCCTGAACATCTTTATCTTTGTCAACATCAAACAAATACAAATTTCAGTTGAAATTACATCAAGAGAAAGCATATTTTAAGGTCAAGAAAAGGTATAGCAATTAACTCCTCAAAAACGCTTGCCTCCTTCACGCAGCAGCACCCATGTAATTTTCTGTGCAGTTTGTTATTGCACATGGAAACATAAGCCCTGTGAGCTACAGATGCCCAACTGCAAATATCACAATTTTCCTTTTTTGGAGAGAGGCAGACAATGAGGTTAATTCTGACATTAATAAACTTGGCTGACACCTTTGCTTCATAACTGTACTACAGATTTTGAGAACGCCAGTGACAAAGAACTGAGAGTATCTAAACAAGAAATAAAACTTTATGCACAGACTCTACAAAGGAAGACAAAGGATATAGAAAGATGTGAAAAAGTTTTTAACACCAATGCAGGAGATTAAAGCTATTTCAGGTATGCCAATAACTCAGTTAGTGGCACCGGCTAAGGCTTAATTACCACAACAAACTCCCAACTACTTCAATAGTCTTGAAAAATCTAATTCACGAATGCGCATGAAAAAACAGATATGCATAAATACACACTTGGCATTTACACATATACACAGGAAGATACACATATACACACAACATACACCAGCAATATTACTTTTATAATTATTATTCTGATAAGAAGTTTGCAGCTGCCGTTAAATAGAAATTAACTATAGCAAGGAAGAGAACTTAAGCTCTTTAAAAGGCATAGTCAACCCCCTTAAGCCCAAAATGCCCCTTCTGAATTATCATAGTGGTTGTAACTAAAAACTAGGCAGAGAATCATTTTGATTTTCAGGAGAATACTGCATCCCTCCATAGCAAGTGCCTAATTTCTTTATTTCTCTCCTCTGCACAATATGCAAGTCCTTGGTTGTTTTAAACTGTTGCCCTAGGAAATCAAAAAGGCCATGTGCCATTGAGAAAGTATACTAGCAACCAAGAAAAAAGCCATAGAAAATTGGAAGATGGTTAACCAAACTCATTCAGATTCAAGAAACTTACACAATTAAGGGGGCAATACTTCCTTACAAGAACATGGAAGGAAAGTTATACAAAGCTCACAGTAGTAACCTATGAGCTATCTGAAATATCATAGCTTGTAAGAAGTACACATTGCAGTGAATAGATAGAATCTACTTCTATTGTTTAATATATGATCAACTCTCAGATGGCTAAAAACATTGGGGGTTAGGCCCATATGTGATAATTATTAATATTACTGCCATAATTTAAGCTGAACACAGAAACCCATTAAAAATGTTAAAGTCCACTCAATTTCAGAACTGAACCTCTTTTAAAAATCATTCATTTTCTTAAAAGCCAACACGTAATTCTTGCTTGAACACCTCCAAACAGATATCTTGACTGTGCACACTTAAATCTTGAGTGACCTATTTATTCATTACAATGAATTCTGTGACAAATTCAAGATGACCTGCAGAGAAGCTTACACTGGAATAGCCTTTCTATCCAAGCTCTGAGCTGAGCTGGGTGAGTATCTACAATCAGCTGCTTTCC